GGTATATATCTAGGTCACCCAAGTTACGAGGATGAGATCAAACCGTTTTTTACGACTCGCCTCAGATCACCTAAAGACATTTTTCAAATTTCGTGAAATTTAAAACTAGCGATAATTTGCCTGAGCCATTAAGAACTAGAGTGAACAAACACTCCAAAATATAAACATAATACGCAAGTGCACATTAACCTTAAACAGCGGAAAACATGCTCACAGGAAGCAAGATAAAAAAGGTAATAAAATTTTGATTTGAACATCAAAAGGGGAAATATACAGGAATAACGTATGGAACAGAGTTCACTGGTAGTAAAGCTCCAGATTCATGCCGTCATGAATTTCATAATCGGATAAGCTAACATGATCTTTAAATATCGTATACCACTTTTTAAGGACAATCTTTTCGTACCGGGTTCCAGTCTGGGCTGCAATCAATTTCTTCAGATCACCAACTAAATCGTCCGAATTGCACTTTACACGTACTTTCTTCCCTAAACGATCGTTGCAGACCACCTCAATCATGGCGAGCTGAAAGAGATTAGCCAAACCAGATAATGTAGTGAAAGTAGTTCACAAGAATATCATAAAATCTCGGCATCTAGATAAAAAATAATTTCTATATCCTCTTCTGGGTATTGTTATCAGATACAGGTAGGCAGGTGTTCCAATTTAGGAAACAAGCTATATTATGGAAGGATGAGTGAAGGTCATTTCCCTCACAAAGGAAATCAAATAGGAAACGAAGGAGGCTCAGAATCGGACAATTTGCACGCGGAAAGTTGTGCCGTGTTGGCATTAATAGACTTAATCCTGAAGACCAGGTTATGCTACATAAGTACAATATCTATTTTATATTCCGTTTAAACAATGAAGCTTAGCACCAATCCACATAGACTAGAAAAAAAAGCCAAGAGAGCTATGCGGGAGTATAATAAGGATTTGAGAACTTAGGGCTGAAGAGAAATGAGAGCACCAACTAACCGTGGAATTTAATCAAGGGGACGCGCATGAAAAGTATGGGCGATAAACTATTATCATTTAATAAACAATATGATTTCATTATATTTGCAGATTTTTTAAGCAATGTAAAATAATAAATAATATAGTACTTATTGTGCTTGAGATCCTGTTAAACAAATTCCGTTTTATTAAATACACACTGCAATAAAAGCCATTTTAGGAATATAGGTATCTTAAAATATTAATATATGCCGTTTTATAAGTTTACCTTTATGTTTAGAACTAATGCTTTCTTTTTTATTAGCAGAGTTTCAATTTTAATATTTACTAATAATATTTGTACAAAGCTTTAGTATAGTTGACATCATGGAATATAAAGTAAAGCTAGATTTCATTGATACTCTGGTAGTATGTGTGACCGATATTTTTATTTTGTTTAAAAATTTGGTTGAATAAGATCGTGACTTTTTGCACCAGAAACCGAAGATGGGTTGCCTTCCAGTATATATTTTTGGATTGAAATAATAAGTC